ACTTTAACTGTATTGAAGAGATAACAATTGGCCACTCGACTATACGGACATTGTACATGTTTTTAATGTGGATATATTTCTGTTTTAGTCATTAAGGAAGAACATATAGGTTTTTGAGCTGAAACACAATTGAAAGATTCTCAAAATACCATGGACCAAGAAGAAAAGAAATACTGACATTCTAAAAGACCTCAACGGAAAAGAAGATTGGCTAGTAAACAGCACTTTGTCTCGGAAACTGAAATATGCTGTCCACATCCAGCGCCACTGCGGTTTGAAAAGAATAGAAACCGAAGAATAGTTCAAGGAAAGAGGAGGAGGCAGGGGCAAACCAGCAGAAAGAGGGGCACGGGGTAGAGGTGATATATTGGGCGGGACAATGTACCAGGTAGGAGATTTGACGAGCGACCGAGGAGGGCCGTGATGAGAGCGACGTTTTGCCTGCTACATGAGGATGATGATAATGATTTTTCTTTCCTACTTTTGCCTCTCATCCCACGCGAGCTGCCCTAGTGTCGTGGCTAAACGCTGGCCTGCGATCCAAATGTTGTGGGTTCAGGTCTTGACAGAGCTTATTGTCCTTGGCTTCCAGGCTGACCCAGCCTTAAATGTGGACCAGTTAAAGTCCTCGGAAGTAAAGGCTGCCAGCGTGATGCTGGGACTGTGTGGTCTCGAGGCATGGCGACCGCCTCTAATGCTGCAGGTCCACGATTCAGGTCCCGGTGAAGGCTGGGATGTTTTTCACGTGAACTTCTAGTAATTTCGCCTCATCTCTGGGTAGTTAGATCGGACGCCCGTGTGTATTGCTGCGCACTTTTAAAAAATCCCTTGGCAGTTGGAAACCGAAAAGAGTAACCTAACAGCGCTGCCCATGCAAAATTTGGAGTTAAAAATCTACCCAAAGTATTTCAAGATCCTTGCCGGTGCTGCGGAGTTCGTGCACTGCGCTGAGATTCTTCGGACACAGGCTTCAGTTAGCAGTAGAACGGAGCACTTATGGGTTACTACCCTTGTGTTATGATGTTGATTCATTGTATAAACCATAAACCATGCTAACCGAGTGTTCATCTTAAGCATGTTAGTGTTAACAAAATTTTACTGTATTGTTATCAGGTTTTTCTTAGTGAGTGTACTATCCAATGCCAGCATACATTCCTCATCTCTAGATTTAAAGGAATTATAGTTTTTTTTTTTTTTGAGTTCCTCTTTAGTTTTTCTGCCTGTAATGAATGGGAAATGCTATGACATCAACGGAATTGGCTGGTATTCAACATTCTATGCATCTATGGACTAGAGAATACCATTATTTTTGCGTCATGTATATTGTATGGCTGCATGCAAAACATCGTTGCGATCTAACATTATCTTTTGTATTTCTACTACTCTTTTATTCCTACTTTTATTAAATATTATCACTTTTAATTTGTTTTATTTTATTTTAATCATCCCACATCGCGTTTTAAAAATAGTTTCTCACACGACCCTTTGATATGTGTTGGGGGTTGGAGTACTCACCCCTTTCTTATTGTTGTGTTGTTTAATTCATGTCGAGAAAGGCCCCGGCCGAAATGTTGATTTGTTTGTATTTGTGCACGGTGTTTTGCTTCCTTTTTAGGTTAGCTTTTTGGTCACAGTTTATTGTGTTCATTTCTTGCTGTGTACCACTGACGATGAGCAGAAATGAATGGCATTGACAAGTGCAATCAAGGTAAAGACGTGTAAGCACCTGATTAGCTCTCTTTGATTCAGAATAGAAAGCAGCAGAAAAATATTTGCTAGTTGGGTCATTGATAGGCACGGGAAGTCGACGTGACTGATGGATCAGCAATATAAACATTAATCTGTGTTAAAAGGTCTTCATCTTGGTGTGTCGTTTCTACTAGCTCAGTCAATTAGGTGATGTCCCAGGTCATTGTAGTTCTTCAACTAGACCAAGGAGAGTCACTGCACTACCATACCAATAAATTCCATTCTACTCAGTATATAAATATATATATATTAATTAACTACAAGAAAACATTGAGTGATTTTGTACATATGATAAGAAGAGACTTGATAACTGGATGAAAACTGATAAAAACAGAGAAAAAGGAAGACAAGCAGATTAATACCTGAACAGCTTTGCCGTACAAAAAAAAAAAAAAAAAAAGAAAAAGAAAAAGAGGACAAGACCATTGACTTGATCCGTGATTCTGCTTATCGTAGTAAAAGTAAAAAATAAAGATTCTTTTTCCCGCCTTTATGCGCATCGGGCCTATGTGGAGAGCACTCATATTTTTACAGACAATTCGGCACTAGGTGGGTAATAGGTAAGCATTACGTTGTCTAAATATCGTAGGGGATGAAACCGAATGGGATGATCGCTTTTGGACAAAGCACGTGCTGATGATATGGAATGTTGTGAGCAGACTTCAGATGCGTGTCTTGCAACAACGAAATCGTGGCTTCCACTTACCAATCTGAAATTCTCTAGCTACTTCTTAATTCCTTCTAATATTTAGACACAAGTTAATAAGTGTGACCTTTCCTTTGGAGGAAAACAAGGCAAGTCGAGAGAGAGAGAGAGAGAGAGAGAGAGAGAGAGAGAGAGAGAGAGAGAGAGAGAGAGAGAGAGAGAGAGAGAGAGAGGGGTGAGAGATTATTATGCATAGGCACAATATGGTCTCTACATAACTGCTCAGGCTTTTTGCTTTGGAGAAAAGGAACTTCCTCTATGGTGAACGAACGATGGATAGAAGATGTCGAGGCCGATCTTTACTAGGATATAAAGATATATGCAGACGGCACATAAATGATACAGGTACTGAGGTGTACTCGTGGGGGGAAAAAAAGGCCATAAGCCGTATTGTGTGGTGGAGGCACACAAGGAAGGGGATGAGAATGAAGGAAGAAATGACTGCAGAAAGGATGAGTGCTGAGCTTTTTGAGAAGAAACGCTAAATACAAATGTTGACAATAACGGCCCTAAAGTCCTATGATATAATTGTTGAAGACATTTCTTAACGCGGGCGGGTCTTGCTAGTCACACTTGCCATCGCCATGGACTGTGTCCCGCGCCTCCTTATAGCTCAATATGACACTATCATCTGGAAAGACGGAAGGGTGCCAGTGATAGTTTATTAACCAACTTCTAATCCATAAGAATAGAAACACCACGCTGCGGAGAAAGACCTCGAAAAACATTGGCTGAAGGAGTAATCATCATCATCATGTGACCTGTCAACTGGCGTAGGCGCTCATGCGTCTCGGCAGATCACGATCCCTGGTTGTCTGGGACAGCTCTTTTGATGAAATCCCTTTAAGCCATCGTTCCAGGCCATCCAGCATCTTTCTCTTGGTCTGCCTCTACCTCTTTTGCCACTGATCTTTTCAGTTGTCATAATGTTCTGCAATGTCTCTCTTCTCATTATGTGGCCAAAGAACAGTGTTTGTCTCTTTCTTATTGTTGTATATAGGGATCTACTTTCATTAGCTTCTTTCAAGCAATCGTTGTTAGTTACTATAACCGTCTAATGTATTCGTAACATTTGTCTCAGAAACCACATTTCTGTTGCTTCCAAATTCTTCCTCATTTGTTCACTGACATTCCAAAATTCGTTGCCATGCAACAGAACAGGTTCTATGTAACATTTTAGCACCCTCTCAAAGACTGCATAATAACACGCCCTAAGTTCGTCTACTTACTATCTACAGCGACGCGTAGCGGCACAAATTAGAAATTGTAATTATTTTAGTAGTTCATGTTTTAGCTTACGTACAGCAGCACTGATCTGATATTAGAGTTAGATATTTGAAGATGTGTTGTTATTGTAGTTGTTGTTGTTGTTTTTGACGTTTATAGATTCTATAATTTAAGATAACACAACACTACAAACCTTTAGCTGCCTTTCCTTTAGACTTTTTGGCTGAGAAAAAATAAAATAACGCGTGAGTTAACATTAAAATATGTTTAGGGAAATTGTAGATAAGTAAATTATTCAATAAATGTATACAAATTATTGAAGTCATCTAGACATCCTTCTCACGCCTTCAGGCTTGTTGTGCAAATAAGGCTAGACCAACTTGGTGGGTGATGTGATCAATACCACACCGGCCGCATTTACTTCCCCTGTCTTACACTGGTAACCAATCAAGGCTGGGCTCACCTTGGAGCCAAGGTCATTTTTGAAAAAGGTTCGGTGCTGTTTGGACTGGAGCCCAGCGTGTTGTTGACCACATTAGCCGTCAGCCGATTGGTCTCTAAAATATAGGTCTGGCCCTACATACTATATAACCTAAAAGGGCCCTTAACTTTTTTTCAACAAAAATGTTAAACATATTATATATTCGCTATATATTGTGGAAAAAACATGTTGAATGTTGAATTAAGAACAGACATCACAGCACTCTGGACACCCCCACAAGCGCTCTGTCCACATCTTCAGCAGCAAGCAAAGAGTAAATATTCCGATGGTACCAGTAACTGTCTGATTGTATATCCGTCTCGCCTTTCCCCTGAGTGTCGAGCGCCGGCCAGATTCCTCCATGTAACTCCTCGCAGTGCCATTCTCCTCAGACCGTAAGGATCTATCTATGCCTCGGCACTGTTCAGTCGCTTCCTCACAACATCCAGCTTATCATACATGAAACATGAATCAGCCTTTTGTCTTTAATAAGCATGTTGTAAAAGGAAACAATTGAAGGGTTTTCCTTCGAAGCGGCAGCGCACCTGTCGCAGAGGCGAGGAACCAACAGCCTGCATAAAAATAAAACAGGTAGGGGAAACTAATGTCCTCGCAGATCTCAAATTCTGGAACAAACCAAAGTTCTGAGGTGGACGAACAACACAATTTTTTCCGCTAAAGTTGACAGGCGGTGAACGCTAACAGGACAAGGACACACACACACCCACATACACACACACACACACACCCATGCAGACACTCACTTACACACACACACCCACATACAATTGGGTTGGAAATGTACGATATGGAGGGGGAAAAACATAGCCAGTCGGCAAGCCACTTAATGATGACATTTAGCAAAATACCTTTTTTCTTTCCTTTAGGCTTCTTATCTGTGGGATAGATGGCAAAAGAAAACATTAGAAAACCTGAGGGCAAATTACCAATTGACAAATTTATTCCGAAACAAACACTGAAGTGGTTCAGCCACTAAGGGAGAACTAATCCAACTATCATCATCATCATAAATCTCCACGTTCATCCTTAAGTGATGTGGGGAGGAACGGTCTGCGATCCTCTGCTGATGGGCAGCAATTGCTATTGAAATTCCGTGTCCATATAGAAGCTCTTTAATGTCATCTATACCTTTGCTCCTAGAGCAACCTCTTGACTTTTTTTTTTCAAGCATCGCAGTCCATAGGTATTAATTTTACATAGGTTAGCCTTTGAAAATATGCAAGTCTGGCACTGGTATAATAGTGTCCGTATGAATATGCTATTTATAATCTGTTTTTGACACTCAAACTCATGTTTGTTTTAAAAAAAAGTAAAAGTCTGTTTTTTATGCCTTTAGGCTTAATAGGCATATTAGGCTAGACCTATATTTTTTAGACCAGTCAGCACTCGGTAGGTGATGTGGTCAACATCACGCCCACCGCCTTTACTTCCCATGATTGTACCTCATTCCCATTTGAGACTTGGGCACTTTGAAAAAAAATGTACGGCTGCGTCATGACTCAAACCCATGACGTTCAGATCCCCAAGTGCATGCTACATGGCTCCTACTTATGTTTGATGCCTTAAAAATGAACCCAACTGTACTGGTACCGAAACACAAAGAGACAGAGAGGGACGTTAAAAAGATGGGAAAGACATAAAGAGAGCTGCGTGTGACAGCAAAGGATAGAACGACCTAGCGTCAGCTGGCGGATGATCTATGCTCCATTGAGAGCTAGATAGGCGGAAGAAGAAGATGGGCTGTCTGTGGTGTACCGTCTGCTGGTAGTCTTGGTACATGTCCGAACCATTTAATCTGTTTTCTCTTGATACAGTTTAATACTAATCTGCAAAACTGTCGTGAAAGAATCTAACCACAGTAAAAGCGCCACATTCATTGTTGCGTGTTTTGAGTGTCAGTCGAAATCATACTACAGCGTACTTTTATCTGTTGCAATTTTGTTTTAATTTCCCCCTCAATTACCCCCTACCCGATATCCCCCCCCCCCCCCCCTTTCCACCAAAATTATTCGTGCTTGTCTTGTTTCGTGAGAGCTCTTTTAACTCCTATTTTTCGCATCCGCTATTCTCTTCAATTGTTACTTTTTCCTTTGTTGTTGTAGTTTGGATTATGTTTTTCCCTTTTCCGATAAACACTTTAATTGAAAAGTGCGATTGTACCCATGTGTGTCTTTCACTGTTCTCTTTTTGAGATTTCTCGTCACAGTTTTGTCTTACTTCCAAATCTCAACTACCTGTTCTACTGTAATCATATTAAGATACAATTAAAGCCATATATCCCATCGTGGGTTCCCGGGCCACACTGTGGGGGAAAGCAAGAATAGACCCGCTGCCTGCCCGAAAGCATGTCGTAAGAGTCAACTTACTGGGAGATTTCTTCAGTGTCGGAGTACATATGCCTGAGCGGCAGGGAACCAACAGTCTGTATGCAAATGAGTCAGACCTGTGAAACGGATGTACATGCAACACTCAGGTTCTGGAACAGGACTGGAGTTCAGAAGTGGATGAACAGCCAGAACTTTCCCCTGGAGTCTACAGTCAGTGAACGCAAATTATAAAAGAAGAAGGCCATAATAAAATCAGCATACCTATCTTTTTCTTTCCTTTCGATTTTTTTCCTGCGAATAAAATATATTAAAATTCTCCTCAATATTCATTTAAAAACAAACACTAAGAAACATTTATATACTACACAGTTCTCATACCTGCCGGGGTGGAGGTTGTGGAGTCGAATCTTCAGCCAGTCAAATTAAAAATAAATTGCACTGACTGCGAGGTCGATCTTTGCTAAAATGGGTCCCAAATAATGTCATGGGAAGTAAAGGCGGCCGTCGTGATGTGGACCACATCACCCATCGAGTACAGATTGAAGTGTAACAATTTTAGTTTAGCATTAATCACCCGTTGCAACTCTTGCACATCAAGCTTCCATTATTTACTTAAGAGTGTAGTACCGATTTCAAAATTTATAAGCTCCTCTCTCTTCTTACCACGTCGATTTGTTGAGTTGATTCAAGATCCGACATCACAACATTTGGGACATTCCCATAAGCGCCCTATCCCCATCTTCAACAGGCAGAGCAGAATTCTAATACCAGTGGTACCAGTAAAATTCTGGTTATACGTCTGTCGCACTTTTCGTCTAATCATTGACCAGATTCTTGTCACTCCCCGTCGCATGACTCACCAGACTGTGGTGACCCATTTGCTCCCCCGAGTTGTACACTTCTCCCACAAGACCCTAACCACGTCTGCCTTAGCATGCATCGGTATCTAGCAAGTTGTGCAGAGCCAGCCAGTTTGTTCGCCTGTTCATTTCCCAACACACCGGCTTCCCTAGGAATATAGATCTAGACAATGCTCCTCACCCGTGACCTCTGAAACAACACACATCGTTCAGCACGAAGCTCGCATATCCTCACCTTCCTCGGCATGCTAATGGGTAAAGTGCTCTTGTCATGCCTCTCTTATGAACTGTTATTGTTCGTCCTTCTCTTCTCTCCTTTTCTGTCATTTTCCATGACTGGTAGTAGTGGGATAGTTTGAAAAGAAGTTGTAGTTGTCTTCCTGTGGAGCCTCGGTTCTCGAAATTAATTCCCTCCTAAAGGTTGTTCTGAAGTACGAGCTGTTCGAAAACTTATAATCTCAATTTCACCACAGTCTTATCTTGCGATGCACATAGTTTCACGATTGCCTGTTCGGGATATTTTCCCCTAAAAAGTGTGTTCAGAAGCGAATTGTTCTAGATCCAGGCGTTCGTGAACAGAAGTCATTTTCTAAAGAGCCATATTTCTAATATTCAGTATTGTATGTTGTTTTCCAGTATCGGTGTCGTTTGTTCCGTTAAGTTCACATCTATTCTGGAACCCTTCGGAACAATTCCCGTCCAGAAAACAACAAGTACTCAATCCATCTCCCCAAGCAAAAACAAATGATCAGTATATTTGAATGTTAACCTATTATGTTTAAATAATAAATGAACAGACAATTTGCTTGGAACTCATGGGAAGACGTAGAAAGATAGAAGGACATACCAGCCAACATAAAAATCAAAAGTTGTAGTTACTGCGGTGGGAATCGAACCTGTCACCCCCAAATGGCATGTGCGCGTCACTTATAATAATAATAAAGTCTTGAGGAGAGGTGCGCATGCCATTTGGAGGTGACAGGTTCGATTCCCGACACGGTAACTATAACTTTCGATTCAGGATGATGGTTGAATGTGACGATGTTTGGTATTTTTTCGCAAGAAAGTCCAAAGTTACCGCAGTTTGCATGTCAGACGGGACCATAAGCTTATGAGTACAATCTGCAGGTCTGTTAGCAATACTCACAGTTACGAAGAAAGACTTGACTTCAAGAGCAAAGTGTGGAGAGCCAACTACGGGGAACCATGGAGGACCTGCAACTGACCATGCCAGTTCAGAAACGCAGCCCAATTGATGGCCTGACATGAGCATACGAAACCAAACGTCAAGAAGAACCAGGAGATGCCAGTCGAGCATCACTGAAGTATGAACATGCATGCTTTCTTGATAAAAATGCAATTGCTGTGTGAAAGGTTAGGGGCGACTGTAAGACGGGCCTGCGTGCCCAATTTGTAACTCTTTGAAAATAAAGTTCGCTCATTCAGTCTTGTGGTGCCAAACGCACATTTTTATCAACAAATCGACTCTGTGTGGCTGATATGGTCAAAATTTACTCGAGACACCATCACTTCCCAGACAGTTATTCAGTATTCATGTTAGGCTAGGTCGACCTGGAGTCAATTTCGATTTTGAAGGGGAAAAAGTATGAGTGTGGATTCGAACCTACGACCTGGCAGGTAGGCGAGCGTCTAGCCACTTGGTTTAAACTAAGTTTGGGAGAAATGAGGAAAAGATAAAGCTGAGCATGAGAAGAGAGAACGAGAAAGAGACTAAGAGAGAGAAGAAGATAGGGAGCAAGAGAGAGAGAGAAAGAGAGAAAACGAGAGAGAGAGAGAGAGAGTGAGAGGGAGAGAAATGAAGAGGGAGAGAGAGCGATAGACAGAGAGAGGACAAGATAATACAAATTGAGAGAAAGATATTTCTTAGTTTCTTTCTCTGGCCGAAGAACTTAATACTGTATTCGTATTAAGTATATTACAAAATGAAAATAACATGCTTTATTGTTAAAATTCAATTGCGGTCTAAAAGATAAATGTTTGGAAAGGCCGAATTGAAGACTGGCCTGCGTGCTCAATGTGTGACTCGACTGACTGACAGACTGTCAACCCCACCAGGCCCGAACAACGAGCCACCAACTTCCGATACGACTAATCGGATGAGGATTCCTCCTGGTATGAGTCCCAGAAACGCCGTTCAACCGTTAGGTTATAATTATAGCCCCCGACCACCGCGGGAACTGGGCTTCAAAATGGGGGGGGGGGGGGGGGGGGGGGGGGGGGGGGGGGGGGGGGTGGGGGGGGGTTATATATTTGGATGAAGTTGTAATAAATGTGTGACTCTTTGAAAATTAAGTTGAATGACTGATTTTTTACCCCACTAGGACATTACACTAAGAGATAAACACCTGGTGACACAAACTGCCACCATTTGGATGAGGATCACCCGTGGACAGGCCCCAGAATCCCCTTTATATTATATTAGTGCCCCCGGCAATAGCCAAGGTGGGGCTTAAACATTATCGAGAAATTGGGACGGGTATTAGAGCTTAAGGAAGCTGAAATATTCAGGTCACATCAAGCGCCACGACGGACTGTAAAAAATAATAGCAGAAGACATGGTACCAAGAAGGAGGGGCGGGAGCGACCAACACGAAGATAGGCACAGGAT